ACGTGGACTTTTTGCAAAAGGGGGCTGAGAAAGGCCCCTTTCGGCTTCAAATTTTGCGGACTCCTTTATGGTACTTAGAAGGATGATATATTTAAGAGAGTATGTGGATGTCATTTTGTTACTGTTAATCTCGAAATGGTAAAGCATTATTTTACATTATCCCATTATTATTTTGCATTGATGTTGGTGAGGGGCTCTTGATCCAAGACAATGGACTTATCTTCCTTTCCCTGAATATGTTCCATTTTATAGGTGCTATATAACCCCTTCAGGTATTGAGCTTTCTTCACTGGTTGATGTATCTTATAAACTGGACGTTACGTTTCACGGCCTAAGGCTGTGTAGGCACAAATTTTGTTGGATTTTGTGAAATAACTGGGAAATTAATCTTCTGTTCTGTGTTAATAACTAGTGTTGTTCTGTTAGTTATAAGTTGTTACTTTTATTAATCAAACTAGTTTCTGTGAAATAATTTGAGAATATTTTTTCTGGTCAGAAATAAGTAATAATGTTTGACTATTTAGTTATGTAGGTTTAATCAGTATAATATACTTTATGTTCCCTTAACATTATGTGACCTCAACACCATAGTTTAACATTTATAAATTATGTACATAAGAATTACATTAAAGGTAGTAGGTTGGTAGACAGCAACCACCCAGGGAGGTACTACCGTCCTGTGGTAGTAGGTTGGTAGACAGCAACCACCCAGGGAGGTACTACCGTCCTGTGGTAGTAGGTGGTAGACAGCAACCACCCAGGGAGGTACTACCGTCCTGTGGTAGTAGGTTGGTAGACAGCAACCACCCAGGGAGGTACTACCGTCCTGTGGTAGTAGGTTGGTAGACAGCAACCACCCAGGAGGTACTACCGTCCTGTGGTAGTAGGTTGGTAGACAGCAACCACCCAGGAGGTACTACCGTCCTGTGGTATGTAGGTTAGGTAGACAGCAACCACCCAGGGAGGTACTACCGTCCTGTGGTAGTAGGTTGGTAGACAGCAACCACCCAGGGAGGTACTACCGTCCTGCCAAGTGAGTGTAAAACGAAAGCCTGTAATTGTTTTACATGTATGGTAGGATTGCTGTGTCTTTTGTCTGTCTCATAAATATGCAAGATTACAGGTACGTCTTGCTACTTCTACTTACACTTAGGTCACACTACACATACATGTACAAGCATATATATACACACACCCCTTTGGGTTTTCTGCATTTTCTTTCTAGTTCTTGTTCTTGTTTATTTCCTGTTATCTCCATGGGAAAGTGGAACAGAATTCTTCCTCCGTAAGCCATGCGTGTTGTAAGGGCGACTAAAATGCCAGGAGTATGGGGCTAGTAACCCCTTCTCCTGTATATATTACTAAATGTACAATGAGAAACTTTAGTTTCTCCTTTTGGCCACCCCGCCTCGGTGGGATACGGCCGGTGTGTTGAAAGAAAGAAGAATTACATAAAACAAACTTGTTTGCTCACTGTCTTATATGTTGGTCAGTCTTACAGAAAAGTTATTTATTTATTTTGGCCTGAGTAGATCATATTCCCCCCCCCCCCCTTTTTTTTTTTGAAGAAAAATAGATTATTATTACGAAGGGGGAGCGCTAAACCAACAGGATTATGCAACGTGTGTGGGGGAATGTGGAAGGTATTCAGGCTTAATTCAGGGAACTGGAGCACAGATCCAATTCCTTAGATCAAGAGCCCCTCACCAACGTCAACGAACCTTCTCAAGGGGTCAAGAAGAAATCAGAACTAATTAAATTCTGCATTAAATGATTAACTCCAAGTCTCCCATGATGGTTACATGATAATGAAACTTGGATACTGATTTTAATATGATGATTTGTGAATGACTTTTCTGATTCCCCTAAGATCTTTAACGCTAATTTTTAAGTGAATTATCAACTTGTGCCACACACTGCACTCTTCCAGTTGCGTCCATTGAGGAGCTGAGGACTGGCGTTATGAATACCGGAATACCGTCTTCGGATCGAGAAAGGAAGGTTTATTCACAAGACTGACTGTTGTTTACCTCTGACATAAACATTGATGGCAGCTCTTGTTTTATGACCCTCATCTCAGATACTACTGGTTATTATGATGATATTGTCTTCCAACTAATGCTTCTTACGCACCTAGTAAAACATTGTTTTAACAAAGACATCAACAGGATACTTTTCAATAATTACGAACTCCTACAATTAATTTTAATCAGTGAAGTTGTTGACAGTCTGAATCTGAACACTAAGAAATAAGCAAGCCTCTAGTGAAAACCTGGCCCAGTCAGTTTAGTGGGGTTCAACCTAACCTACTGTTTCCCATACACTCTCAGACACATCTTGTAGCATTTGAAGGCACATCTTCACACTAGACAACTTCTAGAGCAAGAAAACTGCTAGACTCAGGGGACACAAGCAGTTTATAAGACTTCTGAAGATACAGCCTCACTAGTACTGTATGGATGATACTGTTGTGAAGAATGACATTACAGATAGCATCGGTGGCATTACGTAGTGTGAACCTTGGCATTTCAATTAGCATGGGTAGCACTAGGTAACTTTATTGTCTACAATAAGTATCTAGGTATCTTTATTGTCTACAATAAAGATAATGAGTGCTGCACCTGTGATATTCATCCAAGGAATAGAAATTTTAAATAAAAGAAGAAACTACAATAGATCTGCTCACATTACTTCTAATTTTAAGTGGTGGTTAGGCTTACCTCTGGTGCTAAATATTCCGGTGTTCCACAGAAGGTGTGGGTGGTTCTTCCATAACAGATGTTTTCTTTGCAGAGCCCAAGTCTGTTATTTTTATGTGACCTTCAGCATCAAGTAGTATGTTTTCCAACTGCAACCAAATAAATGTATCAGTGCATATTCTGAACATGAGATAAAATTTACTAAATAAAATCAAACTACAAATCTTGCATTACTCCCATCACTTTAGTTACTTTCTATGACTTGCATTACTTCGGAGGTAGACTGCCATCCCCTTCCTATGAAAGTGTAAAAGAATTACACGGGAAAGAAATATTAAGGAGAGAGTTCCAAAAATATGCACATGTGTAGTGCATACTGGATGTTAGAGTAGCAGCAAGATTGACCTGTCATCTTGTGTTTACGAGACAAAAAGAAGAGACCAGCAATACCTGGAGTGTGCCTGGAGAGGGTTTTTGGGGGTCAATGCCCCCGCGCCCTGTCTTGACCAAGCCTAGGGGTGGATCAGGCCTGATCAACTATTCTCTTACTGCTGGTCGCACGCAAACCGACGTACAAACTACAGCCCGGTTGATCAGGTTCCTGTCCGTCCCTTCTTGAAGATAGCAAAGGTGTATTGGTAATCCTCCTTATGTATGCGGGGAGGCAGTTGAACAGTCGGGCCCCCTGACGCTTATTTTATCTTTTAGTGTACACGTGGTGCCCCTGCTTTTCATTGGGGAGGATGTTGAAATCTCCTGCCGAGTCTTTTGTTTTGGGTTAGAGTGATTTTCTTTTGCAAAATTTGGTACTAATCCCTCTAGGTTTTTCCAGGTGTACATTATCATGTATCTTTTCTCCCCCTGTGTTCCAGGAAATTCAAGTCAAGGAACTTCAACTATTCACTTATCGCACTTCGTGTGCCATGAAAGTTATCTGTTTCATTCTCCAGGTCAGCAATTTCGCCTTCCTTGAAAGGAACCATTAGTGTACAGCAAAATTCTAGCCTAGAGAAAAACAAACGATTTGAAGAGAATCATGGCTTGGCGTCCCTCGTCTCGAAGGTTTTCATTATCCATCCTATCATTTTTCTAGCAAATGTAGTCAATCATTTTTGTGATTTTTGAAAGTGAGATTCTCTGCCAGAATGTAAAACAATTAACAAATTTGTTTCACATTTGTGGCAGGATGGCAGTACAATCACTGGAGATGACTGGAGACAGTTACTGTCTCCCAACCCGCTATAAGTTAGATCCGAGTAAGTAGAGATTAGTGGAATTTATGGCTTGACATGCTATTGAAGTGTGAGCTAAGTGACATTTATAAAGTGACTGAGGGAAATCCAAATAGCAAACTTCAGTCCTGGAACCTCAGAAGGCGAGAAAAAAAAATCTAGCAATCCCGTCAGACCCATTACAAAAGATACTAGCATCGCCCAACTCAAACTAGCAAGTGTTCTCGTGAACCATACATCAAACATTCTAGGGTTAACTAGTTCAGCACACCTGAAGCCTTCCAATTAAGGAGCTTGACGATAGTGATAAAAAGCTCGCAAGCTCCAACGTAACTTTCCCTATTCACCAGTGTGCTAGTGGACCAAGTCGTCAACCTGTTACTCAGAATGATGAGTGGAGATACAGCCTGGCCAGTTTCCTACCAGAGATCTGTAGACCTAATCAAGCTTTTTATTCATCATCAAAAGGGAATAAATACAGTTATTCGGGTTAGCTAAGATCTCCCTCAGCGTAGTTCTCGCAAGCTTGTACATGGAGGTCATGGAATCCAACCACAACTTGGCTAGAATCCCCAGTTAAAAGATCTCAGTGTGCACAACAACAGTCTAGAACCAACTATAAATCTCACTAAAAGAAGACAACCAATTTTTTTTTCTAGATATACTACTATGCATTTTTACAGCCACCTACGTCCAGACAGAGAGGGGGAAGTAATAGGCATCTTTCTAGTAGTCAGTCCGCAGCTCTTAGGAGGAGTGTGTGTACAAGTACATCTTCAGTGATTTTAGATCACTACAGTTTCCACCTACACTATTACAAAATTTCAGGAATATATTTTGCAGAACAATCAACAAGACACAGAGGAAGTCATTAGTTACAATGTTTTGCCAAAATAGCCACCAGCTCTTCATCTTCAATCAATAACTTGGAGTAGAAACACAGGAGAAACCTACGAAATGCGCAGAAGTATGCATTATACAGTGTGGATAACGAGATAGAAAGTGTGTGGGAGAAAATGCAAAATCATTAGGTGTTAGTTCCTGAGCACAAATACCTACAACAATGTATTTGCTCATGAGAATATATGTGGACACTTAATGAAGCTTAAGGAGGCACGATTAGTCATCCACAAAAAAAGGGTTAGACTCAGAAGTGTCCCTGTTCGCAGACGATGTGAAGTTAATGAGGAGAATTAAATCTGATGAGACCAGCAGGACTTCAAAGAGACCTGGACAGACTGGACACCTGGTCCAGCAACTGGCTTCTCGAATTTAACCCCGCCAAATGCAAAGTCATGAAGATAGGGGAAGGGCACAGAAGACCACAGACAGAGTATAGGCTAGATGGCCAAAGACTGCAAACCTCGCTCAAGGAGAAAGATCTTGGGTGAGTATAACACTGAACACGTCTCCGGAAGCACACATCAACCAGATAACTGCTGCAGCATATGGGCGCCTGGCAAACCTGAGAACAGCGTTCCGATACCTTAGTAAGGAATCGTTCAAGACACTGTACACCATGTACGTCAGGCCCATACTGTAGTATGCAGCACCTGTTTGGAACCCTCACTTGCTCAAGCACGTCAAGAAATTAGAGAAAGTGCAAAGGTTTGGGACAAGGTTAGTTCCAGAGTTAAGTGGAATGTCCTATGAAGAAAGGTTAAGGGAAATCGGCCTGACGACACTGGAGGACAGGAAGGTCAGGGGAGACATGAAAACGACATATAAAATACTGCGCAGAATAGACAAGGTGGACAAAGACAGGATGTCCAGGGAGGGGACACAAACAAGAGGTCACAATTGGAAGTTGAAGACTCAGATGAGTCAAAGGATGTTTAGGAAGTATTTCTTCAGAGTTGTCAGGCAGTGGAATAGCCTAGAAAGTGATGTAATGGAGGCGGGAACCATACATAATTTTAAGACGAGGTTTGATAAAGCTCATGGAGCAGGGAGAGAGAGGACCCAGTAACAACCGGTGAAGAGGCGGGGGCCAGGAGCTAAGACTCGACCCCTGCAACCACAAATAGGGGAGTACAAATAGGCGAGTACAAAACGAGAGGCAGAAGTTGCTGGAATTGCTTTAATTGCCACAACCTACAATTCAGCAGAGGTCTGGGAAATTCAGTGTTAAATGCTTTTAGCTAAAACATTATTACCTGCTAGGATCCACCATGACGTGAATGAACAACTTACATGGAGTTGCTATGCAGCAGAGATACTGGCCCATGCTACCTCATTTCACTATTTGTCTGATGAAGCCGCTCATGGCAACTATACTTTAAGAAAATTTTATTTTACCGCATCGAAGTGTTACTTCCATGCTGAATCATGGAGGTGGGTAGTACAGTGCCTACTAGGGGTTATAACTTTTTTAAAACTTAATATCCTGTACCTTAATCGATGAACTTTTGCCTAAATGCAAAGAAATGACCTTTCATTATCAATATCTTTTTAGAAAATATCGCCCCTATATATATAATAATATAAAAAAAACGAATACGAAAACAAGTAACTTGAATGAACTTGAATGAAAAACAATTACAGAAACGTGTAATTGTTTCATGATGGTAGGGTTGCTGGTGTCTTTTTTTTTTTTGCCTCAAATAATGCAAGATATCAGGTACATCTTGCAACTTCTACTTACTGTTAGGTCACGCCACACAATGCATGTAAAACACAAATATATACATACACACCCATCTGTGTTTTCTATATTCTTAATAGTTCTTGTTTTCTTTATTCCTCTTACCTCCATGGAAAGTGGAAAAAAATTCTTCCTCCGTAAGCCATGCGTGTTTAATAAGAGGCGCCTAAAATCACGGGAGCTTGGCTAGTAACCCACTTCTGAATAAATTTTTAAAAATTAAAAATTAAAACTTTTTTTTAGATAGCCTCGTGGACAAGGCCGGCGTGTTGATAAAAACAGCTCGCAATTCTATTATTCTTCAGCAGCGGCTCCCTCGAGAAATTCACAAGGCTCTCACACCAGACTACCGATACAACAGTTACGATGAAGTTATGATAAAATTTATAGCAATGAATGATAGTATGATAGCTTTTAGGAAAGAGATGTGCTTTTAACCGAGATTTAAAATCATGAATATTTTTTGGCCTCAACATATTTTCAACCTGTTGAACAATCTAGGAGCCACGTAAGAAAAGGCTCTTTCTGCAAGTAATTTCTCCCCATCACACTTAAAAGGTTCACAGCCATTCCCCGAAACATTTCGGAGCTTCATGTAAAAAATGGATAACAAGATATGTGGGTTCATTAAATTTAATTGGTTTAATATTAATAAACAATTTTTAAATTCATTTCAGTTGAAGGGAGTCAATGATGCTGATGCAAGTATGGACTAATGGGAACCCAAATTGGGAGTGAAGATACAAGTCTTGCAGTAAGAGTCAGTACAGACATAAGTTTATAACAAGTAGTTAGGCAACCCCACAAACTACAAAAATCAATTAGAGATAAAAAAAAAAACGAGTGAATAAGGACCAAGATACATTGCTTATCAAGACATTTTTTTGACTGCAGAGATATTATGAATATGAAAATTAAGAGATTAACAATTTCTCTGACGTGCCCAACAAATAACTAATAATCTAGGTAGACACAATCTCTCACTGACATCAAAATCATCAATCTGCACCTCCCTGTGGTTACCTGTGTCAATCAAAATCTTTTTCATCCTAACTCTGCTTTAATATTCAATGTCATCCAAGTCCGAATATGCAGCAAAGCCGGGTTTTTTGAATCTCCCACATTCAGAACTTGATGCAGATTTTTATATCAACATAAAAATGATAATCCACCACATGGACGTTCAACAGTAAGGTTAAGCCACAAACACCAGATAAACAATACCAATCTAAGAACAGAGCAAAACAGACAGCTATGATATAGAACTTTTGAGTACTATGTATTTGATGTGACCGACCGGAATGGAAACTTCAGAAGCGACATTGCATTATCCCTAATGCACCAGCCCAAAAGATCAGTAATTCATTATCAGGGGTCCAACAAAATTAGAAACATTCCCTAAAACAAGCTATTCAGTACCATATTATAAACTTTTCACAGTGATGTATCAGTTGAAAGAAATAGTTTTGAATACACTCCACTCCAGAAAAGGAAACAACTGATTTAAATTGGCATATTAAGTTTAGAAAGATACACAATCTTAGAAGCATGACGATAGTTTGAAATGATTTCTGAATGAAGTGAAGGTTTCTGGAGGAGTTGGGCGAATCTAAGCCTTTATTGATGGTCTAAACCATCATCACATTAGAAAACAATGATTAATCAAAACTGAGACACATGTGCAACATCTGGGTATCTTTATTGTTGACGTTTCGCCATCCAGTGGCTTTATCAATATAGATTCCAGGACATAATTTGAAGACAGTAGAACTATATACATAAGATGAGGTAATCAGTCCCCTCAGCCTTGGAGATGGTGTGAAGAGCACCATAGTCGTGAAGATTCTAGAGCAAGGCAAGAGGCTGGTGCTTATATACTTACGCCTGGTGGATTGGGACGGGTAACAGACGTGGGCATAGTCACTAGCAGGCGGGATTCCCAAGTGGAAATAGGTCATATCCAAAAGGATGGGCAAGTTGTAGTAGTAGTTGCAGTAGCCGTGAAGGTCGTGTAGATGTCTTGAACCAAGATTCCATGATATTGCGGTGTCTGATAAGTTGTACCTGGCGTTAGTATATATGAGCGCCAGTCTCCTTGCCTCTGCTCCAGAATCTACACGACTATGGTGCTCTGATCACTAACTCCCAGACTGAGGGACTGTATTGTATACCATTCTTGTACAATGATTAATCAAAACAGTATTGTTGTTGTAGCACTTTCATTTGCGGGCAAGAGCATTGGAAAATCTACATATCTACATAACCAAAAGTTTTTTTTTTTTTTTTTTTTTTTTTTTTTTTTTTTTACATAGGATTTAATAAGAAAACCAAATTCACCAAGGAACAAGGAACCTGTGGCACTGGTACCTGGATGATAAATCATCATCAGCCTCACAATCCACCGATGATAATTTGCTAAATCTTCTATTACTTCAGTTGACGTAACTGGCCGACCAGCAGTGTCAACAAACGAATAAATTACCAACTCCTGCACTCACAAGCAGCAGCTGACTTCTGCGGCTCAGCCGAAACTACTTGTTATATCAGATTTCAACAGCCATGTTTCTATTAGACAAAATAAAAAGGAGAAAATTCGTTCAGAACTTCAGCAACATGCATGATTTTATTTCATATTGAATGGATATTCAACAATCCAACTTCACAAATTTATGAGGAACCTCATGACCTTAGATGTTTTTCACACTAAAATTTGTATTCTACATTAATTTACATTTTCCATTAATCTGCGGCGCTGCAACACCATGAAACAAAGTGATGATCTGCACTCCGATGACTATCACAGGAAGAATAACTGATGCAACAGCGAGATTTTGTCACAAAATCTAGGCTTAGGATCATCAGCACAAAATCTAGGCTCAGGATAACCAGTACAAAAATGGTAATGTAACACTGGTCACCCTAAACATGCCCTGAATTTTGCACATTGTGATGCCAACTATACAGAACTTTCTACCAATAACTTGTTACTTGGGAACGCCAAACAGAATTTACAGTACAGTATTATTCTTGAATAATGAGACAACCATGTCGAGTGTAAAGTGTTAAATCTATGCAGGAATAGAAATCAATCAGCTTGGATCCCAGGAAGTTAAGGGTAACTCAAGATATTTACATCAACAGCCTTTCACTGCCATCACATAAAATACAAATTATAATAACTTAACACACACACAAGTGGGTTACAAAGCCTTACCTTTAGATCACGGTAAATAATATTTCTTTCGTGAAATATCCAAGGGCAAGACAGATTTCAGCTCCATAAAACCTGGTACGTTCTTCAGTAAATGATCTCTCCTCAGTAAGATGGAAGAACAGTTCACCACCATTAACATACTCCATTACAAAGCAGAGATAATCGTTTGTTTGGAACGAGTACTTGAGGCACTGAAAATATCAAATCACATAATTAACTGTTATGTATAAATCAATGAAAACTAAGTAAATTTTAAATAAACAGATCAACTATGACAAAAAAAATCAGTTTTGTAGGAAATTGAAAAATTAACAAAAAATCTAGAAAACGGGAAAAAATGAGAAAATTCTGTTAAAGGTTTCTTTGGATTCCTTATCAGGAAATAAACAGGAAAATTTTCTGGAGATAACGCTTATCTTAGCCTGAGGCTTGACTCTCTGATGGCTGTAAACAGTGAAAAATGTACTTGCAGTGAGGAAGGGATGATCCACAGCCTTTAACACACAGTTCTCAGCGTACGTGTGTGCCAACTCTCGTCGCTCTATAATGACATCTTTCCGCAGGACCTTCATGGCGTAGATACGGTCGTTTTTCTGTAGTCACATATTTTATTAAAGAACCTAATATTCATTATCCCTCGTAGGAAATTTACAATAATTAACCCAAACTAATATACATGTTTACATATTCCCCAATTTGAAAATTATGGAAACTAGAAAAACTTTTTTTTTTTTTTTTAATATAGTTTTACCTTCTGACGACAAAGCATAACTTTCCAAATGTTCCTCTTCCAAGTACTCTGATGAACTCAAAGTTATCTAATGTCTGTGAATAAAATGCAAAACATTTAGAATCCAAAAAAAATATGATTGTATAAGAATACGCATAGAATTATGAGGATGAGATAGGCAATTATAGCAATCAGAAAAATTGACTGCTAGAGAAAATTTATCAGTTACCAATGATTAATGTTTCCCAAAATAAAAAAAATTAAACTCTTCACGAGTCCTTAATGAACACTGTCCTCTAATTACCAGACAAAAGAACAATGACTAAATATCACCTGGATAACAAACTGATTCAATTGGAGTGAGATATTTAAGTCACCAAACGAAAAAAAAAAAAAAAAAAAAAAAATTATGCCAACAGACTTAATAAAAAAGATGCGAATCAAAAACGCATGTAACGCCTTACTGTAGCCATATTTTGTAAACATATTAAAATCAAAGAAATTATTCTAACTAAACCTAATAAAACTTCCGTCTATGACAACATTTATCATCACTCGTCCAGATCAGATTTTCCTCAACATTAACCCTTAAACTGTCCAAACGTAGATCTACGTTTTTTCAACATTTGAATGTAAAAAAAAGTAGATCTTTTCTTTTTTTTTACATTTGAAAAAGTGTAAAAAAAACTTTGATCTACCTTTTTTGTTATATTTGAAAATATGTAAAAAAATCATAGATCTACTTTTGGAGCACTACGCATGTGAACGTAGATCTGCTTGGACAGTTTAAGGGCTAATGAGCAACTCGTACATATATGTACTCTGATGTTGACTAATATTCGCTATTAATATTAACACGACTTTTTACATGATGGTTGGAAACAGCTAAAATGTTCATTTGAATATATTGGTAAATAATTCACACCATTACAGGACTCTCTTGCTGTCTACACATAAAAAGCAATTGAAAATTCCACACTTATATGCAACACATCCGCAAACGCGACTCCAGATCAGTGGGCATCTTATCTAACATTCGTTACTGTGTCTCGAACCACTATCACTCTGTGTCTCACTAGTGGTATTTGTGTCTGGATATCTACAAAGACAAAGTTAGATACACAAATAACCCACACATAGAAGAGAGAGTCTTACGACGACGTCTCGGTCCGACTTGGACCATTTACAAAGTCACATTATGTGTGTATCGTTCCAGTCACGGTATTGTGCCTTTTCTGTTATTTTAAGGCTAAGTTAGCACTACCTAAACAAAAATCTTCCGTTCGAAGATAAGATAAGATTTCGTTCGGATTTTTAACCCCGGAGGGTTAGCCACCCAGGATAACCCAAGAAAGTCAGTTCGTCATCGAGGACTGTCTAACTTATTTCCATTGGGGTCCTTAATCTTGTCCCCCAGGATGCGACCCACACCAGTCGACTTACACCCAGGTACCTATTTGCTGCTAGGTGAACAGGACAATAGGTGTAAGGAAACGTGTCGGAATTTCCACCCGCCGGGAATCGAACCCGGGCCCTCCGTGTGTGAAGCGGGAGCTTTAGCCACCAGACCACACGAATGATAGCCCACTTTTGAACAGGATAAATTTATTAAACATACCGATCATTCATTCCCAGTACTGTGCATATTATATGTACAGGATAATCAATACAAATATAAACCCAGCTCAGATACACTTAGAGAGTTACTGCAGTAGAACTCGTACGAAAAATACATGAAACAAGTATCTCCGATATTCCCAGTGTTGGACTCGGCCTGAGTATTATTATTATTGTTATTATAATAATTTCTACAAATACGTGTACAAGGTATGTAGGCCTAGCTGCCATAAATGACATACTACTGTACTACATACAAATCCGCTTGTTATGTAGAGTATGTGACGAATGGTTTTGAAAACCGACAAGTTGAAGAATTGAGACACTTATGCAACACATGGGGAATCTTTATTGAAGAAACGTTTCGCCACACAGTGGCTTCATCAGTCCAATACAAAGTAGAAGTGGGTAAGGAGAGTGGAAGTTTGAGGTAATCAGTCCCTCAACCTGGAATCGATGTGTTCAGTCCATCACTCTTGTAGGAAGTGCAGCATAGGGCCAGAGAGGTGGCTTATATACTGCGGTGAGATGAGTTGAAGCAGAAGGCGGCGGGATCACAGTGGGACCTGCCACTAGTGTAAGTAGGTTGTCGTCCAATACTTTGTATTGGACTGATGAAGCCACTGTGTGGCGAAACGTTTCTTCAATAAAGATTCCCATGTGTTGCATAAGTGTCTCAATTCTTCAACTTGTCGGTTTTTAAAACCATTCGTCACATCTGTCAGACACTGCAACATCATGGGATCTTGGTACAAAGACTTCAACGCTTGCCCAACCTTTGGACGACGACCTACTTACACTAGTGGCAGGTCCCACTGTGATCCCGCCGCCTTCTGCTTCACCTCATCTCACCGCAGTATATAAGCCACCTCTCTGGCCCTGTGCTGCACTTCCTACAAGAGTGATGGACTGAACACATCGATTCCAGGTTGAGGGACTGATTACCTCAAACTTCCACTCTCCTTACCCACTTCTACTTTGTATTGGACTGATGAAGCCACTGTGTGGCGAAACGTTTCTTCAATAAAGATTCCCATGTGTTGCATAAGTGTCTCAATTCTTCAATATGTAGAGATTTCGGGCAAATCAGGTCAGTTTTGTCCCAGGATGCGACTCACACCAGTCAACTAACACCCAGGTACCCATTTTACTGATGGAGAACATAGACAACCGGTGTAAGGAAACACGCCCAATGTTTGTACCCTCGCCGGGAATCGAACCCAGACCCTCACCGTGTAAAGCAAGAGTTTTAGCCACCAGGCCAATGCTAAAAAAAAAAATCAGAAACCTATTATCTGAAGATTGCACACGTTCTCTGTCTCCAACCGCTTCAAAGCTATTGTAATAACAGCACCTCAATCGCTAGCGCACTCAGCTCTCACATTCAGGTCCGGGGTTCGAATCTCCTCCGGTACGGCTGGAAAACATTACGGACGTGTTTCAATAAGACACCTGCTGTCCTTGTCCCTGTTCACATATCAATTTAAAATGGGTACCTGTGTGTTAGTCGACTGGTGTGGGTCGCCTCCTGGGACAAAACTGAGTTAATTTGCCCGAAATGCTTTGCATAACAAGCGGCTTTCTATATAGTAGTATGTCATTGATGTCAGCTATGGTCTGTATACCTTGTACATGACTTGTAGTAAATAAAGATATTATTATTATTATTATTATCATGATAGAAGTATATTATGTTGAACATTTCTTTGACTGGTTTATTTAGTTCTCGTCTAATATTCATCCTAATGTATATTATTATTATAATCAAAAAGAAGCGCTAAGCCACAAGGACTATACAGCGCTGCAGGGCAGGAAGGAAGCGAGGCATCAGGTGGCAAAAGGGAGATGGATGAGTAACAGGTTACGGATAACAGCGGGGCAGTGGATGGTGAAAGGGTAAAGGGCAGCAAGAGACTGAACCAGAAAGGGCTGAGGGGAGTGCGAAAAGTATCATCAGAGTTTGTGGAGTAAATCAGTCGTTGTCAAGAAGTCAATGAGAGAGTCAGGATTAAAGGGGTCCATCAGCAAGAAGGGAAGGTAAAGAGAGAGTAGGAGAACGAAGACGACGTTGGAGGTAAATTCTGCGTGCTCGTTGATAGAGAGGGCAGTCTAACAGAATGTGGCTAATCGATACTGGAACTTGACACTGCTCACAGGAGGAACAGGGTGCCTCTCCATGAGATACCCATGAGTAAGACGAGTGTGGCCAATGCGAAGGCGGGAGAAGTGGTCTCCCAACCTCGGCACTGATGACAAGAAGACGGCCAGTAACCTATGCTCGTTTAATAGAATGAAGTTTGTTACCGAGCAGAGTTGACCAACGTTGTTGCCAACGGGTGCGAAGGTGGGTAGCTATTGCAGCAAAATAGTCCAGAAATGGAAACACCTCGATAGGAAATTGGTAGGTCATTATACTGCTGACCGCGCAGCAGTGTCTGCCTGTTCATTGCCCTGTACGTCGACATGACCAGGGACCCAACAAAAAACAATATCTTTATGTTTGGTAGAAATACGGCGTAGCCAAAGTTGGATACGGAGAACTAGGGGATGAGATGTATCAAATTTTCGTATAGCCTGTAGAGCACTAAGGGAGTCTGAGACTACTACAAATGATGACACAGGCATAGATGCGATACGAATAAGTGCTGCAAGAATGGCATACAGTTCAGCAGTAAAAATGCTAGCTGAAGATAGTAAATGCCCTCGTACGACGCTGTCCGGAAACACTGCTGCGAATCCGACGCCGTCTGAAGACTTAGAGCCATCTGTGTACACAGCGGTGGCATGAGAATGGGAGTGGAAGTGATCAAGAAAAAGAGAGCGGGAAGCCACCGTAGGCAGTTGAGCTTTCGAGCAAGGGAGTGAGAAAGAACAGACCCGAACAGCTGGAACTTCCCAGGGGGTAGGGAAAAGTGAGATGCTACATGAACATATAAAGGTGGTAACTGAAGGGAAGACAAGAGTGAAAGTAGGCGAAGAGAAAAGGGACGGAGCAAACAGGGGCGGCGAACGAATAAAGAATGTCTACTAATATCGGTGACCATTCTATAAATGGAAGGATTGTGTAGATCGTGAGAGCGTACATAGTAACGAAGGCAATGGGCATCACGGCGATCAGACAAGGATGGAACATTTGCTTCTGTATAGAGGCTCTCAACAGGGGAAGAGCGAAAAAGCACCAAGGCACAAACGTAAGCCTTGGTGATGGATAGAGTTAAGGCTAGAGAGAGTAGCAGGAGAGGCCGCGGAATAAATCTGGTCACCATAATCGAGTTTCGATAAAACGAGGGCTGAATGTAGGCGAAGCAGAGTTCGACGATCAGCTCCCCAGGAAAGATGAGCAAGGGTTTTAAGAAGGTTTAGCCGGCTGTGACAAGTTGCCTTCAGAGAGGTAATGTGAGGTTTCCAGGTTAACCGACGGTCAAAGAGAAGGCCTAGAAACCTGACTGTATCACGTTCGGGGATACGGGAGCCATAG